GTAATATAATTTATAACTTATGTTTTTTACAATAATAGTTCCCGTATCCGCTTGTTATATCATGCAATTATTATTTAGAAGAAAATGAATTTTAGATATCTTAATGGGCATAGATTTTTGTCTTCTTTTGGGACACAGAATAATAAAAATATCTTCCAAGATTTTTAATTTAGTGGTGGATATTGCAACTACTTTTCTTTCTCTTTTTCTTTTTCATTAGTTTTCATATGTAGGATTTTTGTAGCTACAGTACTACATGCCCGTTTGGACATAAAATTTGATGGAAGATTTTTCCAAAAAAAATTTCACTTTTTTCGAAATCTGTATTTGTTCATAAAATTTTCATTTTTCACTTGAAAATGCATTTTGGAAATTTCGAAAATTTGAAAAAGTGCAAATAACTATTTATCAAATTTTTCATTCAAAACTTCAAAAACAAAGCAAACTGAAATTTATGTCCAAACACAACTCTACATTTTAAAAAAGTGCACGCCCGCCAAGCAACTTTATCCAATCAGAGAATCTTAACCTTTCCTTCAGAATTGGGACACCTGTTGGCTAGGGATTAGTGTAACCTCAATTGACCTAAAATAATGTGGATCAATCTGTGCCAGAAATTAAGGACAAGCTTCTTTCATGATCACCATTGAAAACTTTACCATTATAAAAAAGGGAAGATTAAAATATATTGGTTTCTTTTGTAATACATTTATGTAAGATAAATATTTTTTGCCAAAATATTTCATCCCTTATCTAATACAGTCAACCCTCTATATAACAAACTCGTTCGTTTCGATATTTTTTGCTTTAATAGTGAATGACTGTTATACACCTATAACAACATTTGACATTTAAATATTTTTTGGATGTTATAGATAAAAATTATCCAAACTCTAAGGCAGACATTTAAAAACTACCTAAAAAATAAATTTTTTCAAGATTGATGGAAGAACTTTGTAATTGTAGCTTGTTTTATAGATTTTATTCTCTTACTAGCGATATAACGTTTGAATTGGCGAAAATTCGTGTCCAAATTTTTAGCAAAAAGGTATCCAAAAGCTTTCTCTTGAAGACAATTTAAGAGCTTAACAGTTAAAATTTCTATCTAAATATTTTTTTAGTTTATAAAGCAGTTCTGCTATAAATATAGTTGTTGTCGTTTTAAGTAAAATGTTGTTATAGAGAGGTAAAATATAATTTTAAAAATTGGTTCTAAAGAAAACAATATTTTTATAATAAATAACTGTTATATAACAATGTTATTATAGAGAGGTTTGAATTTATACATATAATTCATAATAATTTTTTTCTGTTTACTTGAAATCTTTCGTGAGGCAATGATCTATATTCACTTAATTCTATATTGTAAAGGGAGACAAAACTGTCACCAACTTTCTTCTTCCCTTGCTCTAACTGAATTCCTTCTTTTCTTTAAGTTAGTTAAAATGACATAAATGTCCAATTAGAGAATTAATTAAGGATTCTACTCAAATCATTAATGTATTATTCTTCATTAGTTGGGGCATAAAAGGAAAGAAAATTATGTTGGACTATTTGTTTGGAGAACTAGCACAAGAAGCTATTTTCAGAGGAAATTTTTGGTATGAGAATATGAATGTGTTTTCTTGGAAAACTTTATGAGCTGAACTAGAAAGAAATACAACGTTTTTGCTTAAATTGATAATTGAAAAGTTAGGGGAATTGTTGTATGATTTGATTTGGGAATAGGGAAGGGAACGTACAAAAATATCTGTTTGCTTGCTTGGTCTAAGAAAGGAAAAAGGAAAAAGGAAAAAGATAGATATTTGGCAATTAAGTATCTTTTCTTCTATTTCTCCAACCCCAACTTGTACTTTTTTCTTATTTCCTTTACTTGGTGGAAATTAGAGAAAGTGATAGATCAGCAGACAGCTTTAAAATTCAGCCTCCCTTTGTTTGGTTTGAGTAGAAAATTAGGAGAGAAAATAAGGAAAATAAACAACTCTCCTTTTGGACCAGAAAGAAAATAAAAAAAGTTATTCAATTTCCATCCAAACCAATAAATAAAAGATAATAACCTTCTTCATTCGTTGTCTCTAGTTTTCTCATTGTTTCCTAGTTCTCAACTTCCAAATTTGGAGATTTCAAACTATTAATTTTCACGTAACATGTGTAGGTGAGGGGCTTGAGCTATTTATATTATATATATATATATATATATATATATATATATATATATATATATATATATATATATATATAGTAAAAATAAATTTATAAAATATGTATTTTTACTAAATTTTATCTCATTATTCCCAACAGCATCAATAATCATCAAGTGCGTCAAGCCGATTTTGAACATGATTTCAATCATGAAGTGCTTGAGTTATTTGTGTTTATACAGTGAAGTGTGATAATTTAAATATCTAGCATGTGTCCATTAATATTGAGGGTTCTTTCTACTACAAGTGGATGAGATTTATTGCCCATTACTGTTGTTGTAGAACCCAAACACTATTCTCAGATGTCATTATCTCGTTTGCGGAAGAAAAATAAAATAAATAAAACACATAAGTTACCCCTTAAAGTATTTGACCAAATTCCTGTTATGTAATTTTTTGCGGACGAAAATCACCGTATATATTTAACCTTTCCAAAGTGTGCCTAAGACACACCACTTTTTATTGACCAGTTTTTCAAAATATGTGTCATATCACCAGGAACGGCTCAAACACATGCGGGGTAGCCAAAGTTTAATAAGAGGCCTATATTTTTTAAAAGAAAGTTATAAGATATGTTTTTATTTGAAGTCTAGTTTTCTAACTTTTTGAGACACAAAATTGTTAATAATCTTTTTTATAATCGATTTTTTCTAATAATTTTTTTTCATTGATAATATAGCGTACTTAGTCTTTCTTGAGATATTGTTGATCTTAGACAAGATTTTAAAGAGCAATCGAGGTATAGAACTATTGGATCCAAGTTTCCGACCAAGTTGAATTTCTTACTTCCACATACTCCTTATAACGCCCACGCAGAGTGACTTCAAAAAGAAGATGCTTAGCCCTTAAAATGCATTGCGAAGAGAGATCGAAGCTAAAGATTTTCTGACGCAGTACGGGCACAGGATGGAAAAGACAATAAAGGAATCAACCCACCGAATGGGCATACCTCTCTTCAATATTGTTAGGATGGGAGGGAGTAGGTCTTGCTTCATATTTATACACCTATAACTCCAATACTGACTCTAAGAACCTGTTTGGCCAAGCTTCTCAGAGGCCAAAAGTACTTTTTTTGGTCAAAAAATTACTTTTGGAAAAATTTAATGTGTTTCGCCAAAATAAAAAAGTACTTTTGGCGAACAGCAAAAGCAGTTTTTCTGCTTTTGGGAAGAAGCAAAAAATTCTAGCTTACTACCATCAGATACATGAATCATGTAAACTTTTCAAATTCGTTTTTTGTCTTTTCATTGGTTTTTGCTTCTTTCGCTTGAATAGTTCTTTTTCTTTTCTTTTTCTTTTAAATTTCTACCATTATTTTAAAAGTTAAGATATCAAATACTTGAATCATCTTGTAACTTTTCAAATTCTTTTTTGACTTTTCTTGTTTTTGATGTTTTCTTTGACTAATCTTTTTTTTTTTTATTCTCTAAATTAATAAATCTCCTAGAATTCTCCCACTAACTTTAATAGATTCATCTCCTTGAATACTTTATGGAAAATGAAAAGTCCTATCTATTACTATAAATAGACTTCTTCTCCCTTTTTCTTGTGCAGATTCTTCTTCTTTGTCTCATATTCCTCTTTAAAATAACAAACTAACAACCAGTACAACTATTTTTTCATAAGGTATATTTTTTTTGTAGTGTGCCAATTCATTATACGCAATAGCTAGTATGTACTTTTATTTTTATTCTTTTTTAACGTGCTTGCATGTACCAATGACACTGATTTCTAATAATATGAGTGCTTTATAGTTGAAATTTTTTCCCTTGACACTCATATTTTTAGTATCTTTCTCTTTTTTTTTTTTTGATTTAGTTCTCTATTTGTTTAATATTTTTATTAACCACATGTTCAATATTATTATTAACCACATGTTCTTAATGAAAAAGAAAATGAGTAAGAAAATGACACTGGATAACAACTCTAAGAAGGATAAATGTGATGCAGAAACTACAAAACTATTTTTAAATATATGTGTGGAAGAAATTTTAGCAGGAAATCATCCTGGAACTAGATTAGGATGGTCTAATCTGGTGCAAAAGTTTAATGACAAAACCGGAAGAAACTATGATAAAGTTAAGTTGAAGAACAAATGGAACAACCTCAAAGGTACATGGAAAGAATGGGATACTTTAGTTGGAAAAGAGACTGGTTTAGGATGGGATCCAGGTAAAAAAAGCGAGTGCAGATTGGTGGGATAGGAAAATAAAAGTACTTGTAATTCTACTACTTAAAATTCAATTAACATAATTTTATTTATTTATTTAGCTTTGGTATTTTAAATTCTCTTGTTCTTCTTCACATTTGTAGGAGAATCCAAATGTAGAGAAATTTAGAGAGAAAGGTTTACAACATCGACAACTGATGGAGTATTATTTTAAGGATGTTGTTGCAACCGGTGAACATACGTGAGCACCGTCATCTAGAGTGTTACCAGATGGTATACAAGGAAGCAGTTGGTTTCAACCAGAACAACCATTTGAGTTTGGAGCTCCTGTAGACAATGAAAAGTTTGTGAATATTGATGGCATAGAAAAGAATACCGAAAAGGGATTCGAACAAACTAATCCAGAAGAATGGAATGTGATTGAAAAAGTGCATGGTAGTGAGAGTGGTGAGAGAAGAAAAAGAAAATCATCAACTACTATAAATGAAAAGGAGAAAAATAAATTCAATACCAGTCTAAGAATTACATCATCAATATAGAAAATTGCTGAAGCCATACAATCACGCTCTTCAATGAATATGGGGTCAAAAGACTCTTCACATAGTATTAAGTATGTAATGGATGTTGTTCGGAATTTACCCGGTATGATTGTTGGTAGCAATTTATGGTGGAAAATAAGTGTGCTACTAGTCAAGAAACCAATGAGAGAAATGTCTTAGCACAAGAAGATCCAGAGTTACAATTGCAGTGGTTGAAAAAGATGCCTAAGCTTCAAAAAGAATAAATTTAATGATATTACCTATTATTTGTCACAACCCGAATTTCTCACCGTCGGGACCATGATGGCGCCTAACATTGTACTCGCTAGGCAAGCCAACGTTACATAATATTTCATCTTTTTCCTTTATCTTTTAACAATTAAAACTTAACAAAAGTAAATCAGCGGAAATAAATGCGAAGAACACAGGTTAAAAGATTATCTTTATACTAATAACAAAACCGTTATAAATTCCACCCAGAATTGGTGTCACAACTCACAAACAGTATACGAATACTACAAATAATGGTCTGAACGAACAATTTACATTTGCCTCGGAAGTAGATAAAACAAAAATGAAATAGGATAGAAGGGGACACCAGGGCCTGCGGACTCCTGCAGGACTACCTTGGGTCTCCAGGAAGCAGTGATAGCAACCAACCTCACGATCAGCCACTAGCTTCAAAATCTGCACAGAAAGTGCAGAGTGCAGTATCAGTACAACCGATCCCATGTACTGGTAAGTGCCGAGCCTAACCTCGGCGAAGTAGTGACGAGGCTACGACGGAGCATACCATATATACAACCTGCAACAGTTTATACTAAACAAAAAGGAAATACAGAATGTAATAAAGCAATAACTGGCATTAAATAAATTCAGAACCCAGTTGTTCTACTAGTATTTAGCTATTAAGGGAGTTCCAATCATCACAGTAATAGACCTCAACAGAAATGAATACATAATAACAACTGATGCGGCGCGCATCCCGATCCCAACATATAAACAACAACAGTATCAATATTCACCCTTATTACTCCTTGTTGGGGCGTGCAACCCGATCCCACCTGTCCACCCTTACTACTCCTCAATACATATCACCCTTATTCCTCATGTTGCGGCGCGCAACCCGATCTCACATGTCCACCCTTATTACTCCTTATTGCGGCATGCAACACGATCCCACTAGACAATCACATTTCATCCTTATTTCTCTTGTTGCGGCGTGCAACCCGATCCCAATATACATATCAGCACCAATCACAAAAGAATAAAGACAAGTGTTTTCACAAGCTATCTCAAATCATCGCACATTACTTATACCTCAATCCACACAATGGAACATCACTACGATTATGAAACTTCACCAGTGAAAACTACTCAGCGAGACCAACCAAGGTGCACCATAAGGCACCAATAAATCAATATAAGCCAACAGGGTAATAAACTGAAGCTACGAAACAAATAATACTTCTACGGGAACATCAACAGTTAACATGAAACAACTAAATAATTCAATAAAGAGAACATTAGTTAAGAAAATAGACATGGAAACATTTATGAGAAAGTAGCAATTAAGGCAGGAAAACAAGATATAGAAAAACGGGGAAAGGAAATAGGCTAAACAAGTAATTTGGCGACGCATAAGTACTCGTCACCATACCTATACGCCACACACATGATATCTCACATAGCAAGCAAGTCGAGAATCCCTAATCCCTCAAGTCAAGGTTAGACCAAACACTTACCTCAAGATAACGGGTATTTCAAAGCTCAACCACCGCTTTACCTCTCGAATCCACCACCAATTCACTCGTATCTAGCCATAATTAACTTAATAACATCAATAAACGCTAAAGAAACCAATTCCAATGCATAATCAAAGATTTCCCAACATTTTTTCCAAAAAGTCAAAAATCGACCCCAGGCCCGCTTGGTCAAAATTCGAAGTTCGAACCAAAACCAGATTACCCATTCACCCCCGAGCCCGAATATACAATTGGTTTCGAAATCCGGCCTCAAATTTAGGTCCAAATCCCCAAATTTTAAAATTCCTAAATTCTACCCAAGAACACCCAATTTCCCATGAAAAACCCTAGATTTTGAGATGAAATCATGCAAAAAGATGAAATAAATTGAAAGAAATGAGTTAGAAATTATTTACCTATGATTTGGGGAAGAACTCTCTTTTAGAAAATCGCCTATGGGAGCTTAGGGTTTGAAAATTTGAGAAGTAAAGTGAAAATCCCATCAAAACTTGTTTTTGAATAGTTGGAGATATCGCATTTGGATCACAGGCTCGCAAATGCGATCAACGCTTCGCAAATGCGAAGCTTGGCCTGACCTGCTGCCTTCGCAAATGCGAACAGTTGTTCGCAAACGCGGCCACTGTTCAAGTCGCATTTGCGATGATGAACTTCACAAATGTGAAGGTCCCATGCCCAGCCCAATCATCGCAAATGCGATGATTCTTCGCAATTGCGGCGCTCGCATTTGCGATCTAGTCTTCGCAAATGCGAAGTCTATAGACCTGCAATACCAGAAAATTTTCCTTAAGGTTCAAAACACTCCGTAGCCTATCCAAAACTCACCCGAGCCCTCGGGGCTCCAAACTAAACATGCACACGAGTCTAAAAACATTATACGGACTTGCTCGTGCGATCAAATCGCCAAAATAACATCTTGAACAACAAATTCAACACCAAAACTCATGAAATTTTCAAGATAGTTCAAACTTTCTAATTTCTCAACCAATGGTCCGAATCGCGTCAAATCACTTTCATTTTTCACCAAATTTCACAGATAAGGCTTAAATATTATAACGGACCTGTACCGGGCTCCGGAACCAAAATACGGGCCTAATACCAACAATATCAAACATTATTCAATTTCCAAAAACCATCATGTTTTTTGGTTAACAATTTTCTTCAAAAATTCATTTCTTGGGCTAGGGACCTCGGAATTCGATTCTGGGCATATGCCCAAGCCCATATTCTACGGGACCGTCAAATTACGGGTCCGGGTCCGTTTACCCAAAATGCTGACCGAAGTCAACTAAAATCATATTTTTAAGCCAAAAATCATTATTTCTTAAATTTTTCACACAAAAGCTTTCTAGTATCGCACGCGGACTGCGCATGCAAATCGAGGAGAGATAAAAGGAGGTTTTCAAGGCCTCAGAACACAGAAACGGATTTTAGACACTCGTCATCTACACTAGTCTCAAGACCCTCAATAACAACCACGCGCGAGCGATAGACACGATCTACAACAATAGAATCACTCACCGGCGTGGACACATATACAGGAGCACTCAAATAATCACGAGGCATAACCAAATATAAAGCAAAATAGGAAGACACATAGGAATGTGTAGACCCTGGATCAAACAGAACTGAAGCATCTCTACTACAAACCAGAACAGTACCTGTGATAACAACATCGGAGGACTCAGCCTCAGGCCTGGCTGGAAAAGCATAACATCGGGGCTGGGCCCCACCACCCTGAACTATATCTCTGGGACGGCCTCCTGCTGGCTGGCCTCCACCTCTAGCGGCCTGGCCTCCACCTCTAATGGCTTGACCTCCACCTCTAGTAGGCTGACCCCTACCTCTGGCTCCTTGACCCCTACCTCTAGCTGGCTGGGCAAGCGATGCCGGAATCATGGCACGAGAAGTCTGCTACTGCGACTGAACACCCACTAATCTCGGACAAGCCCTCTGGATATGACCATACTCACCACACTCAAAACATCCATCTGAATACTACGGGTGAGGAAATTGAGACTGACCCTTGCGGGCCGGTTGTCCGCGATAATAGCTCTGAAGAGAAGGTTCTCTGATAGAAGCTGGCGGTGCACTATAAGGTGGCTGCCCTGAAGAAGGTACATAAGGACCACGGCTCCCTGATGCTCTATGGGATGCCTGAAGCGCTGAGTGAAATGGCCTGGGATGATGGCCTCTACCAAAAGTACCTCGACCTCCAGATGAGGTCCCACTGAATCCACGGGAGTGACGAGGCCTCTTGTCAGACCCCTGACCACTACCCTGAGCTATAACCATCTCAACTCATCTGGCCACATTTGCCGCATCTTGGAAAGAAATCTCACTCCTTGTCTCCTTAGCCATCTGCAATCTGATAGGGTGAGCGAGTCCCTCAATAAATCTCCTCATCCTCTCTCTCTCTCGGTGGGGAGTATAGAAGAGCATGACGAGCCAAGTCAATGAATCTGGTATCGTACTGAGTGACAGTCATAGAACCCTGCTGAAGGCGCTCAAACTACCTCCGATAGTCCTCTCTCTGAGTGATAGGGAGAAACTTCTCCAAAGATAGCTGAGAAAACAAATCCCAAGTCAAAGCAGGCGACCCGGCTGGTCTAGCCAAACAGAAATCCCTCCACCACTTCTTGGCGGAACCTGATAAGCGAAAAGCAGCAAAGCCGACCCCATTGGTCTCCAATATCCCCATGTTCCATAGAACCTCATAGCAACTATCCAAATAGTCCTGGGGATCCTCTGAAGATATACTGCCATAGGTAGTAGTGAAAAGCTTGGTGAACCTGTCCAACCTCTACAAAGCATCTATAGACATAGCTGCTCCATCGCTGGTCTGTGCTACAACACCCGGCGGGACTACCCCAACTGGCTGAGCTGCTGGAGTCGGAAACTGGGGAGCCATCTACTCCGGAGTGTGAGTAGCGGGAGTCTGTG